TTTTGAAGTACAATCTTCTTATAATTTTGGCGGTTGCTACTGAGAATGATTTGTTATCAGAAGATAAATCTTTGTACAGTTGGGTATCATACATTGTCCCATCCAATTACTGTCTAGATTAAGGGGCGAAATGGCATATTACTTTTGTTAAACACTGCGAAAGAGTTGTCAGATTTTTAAAATTGCGAATTGACTTCTTTTGAGTCAGTCAACGATTTGTCCATCATGTCACCGAAGATCAAGTATTCAATCTGATAAACGTTTAAATTAGCTATGTTGTAATCTTGCCGTATTTGGTGGTATATTCACCGTGAAACAAGAATATTATGTATGATCCAAACAGACCATTACACCAGTGATGCAATTTGGGCGTAGACCCGAATTAGGGGCGGATCCAGGATTTACCAAAAATCGCGCCGTTTTACTGTTTTACTTTTTTTTCCTCCCCCCCCCCTTCTCCCCCCCCCCCCCCCTTTTCTTCTTTTTTTCACTTGGCCGCCCAAGGGGGGGGGGGAGGAGTTTAAACCGCCGAAACCCCCTTAGATCCGCCCCTGCGAATACAGCACTCTATATATTGACATGTCATGCATGATAAAGTATCCTCTGTCCTTCGCTGCATGTCACGGCTAGCAGAACCCATATGTTTCAGATGTCGGGATAAAACGCAATATTCTCCCGCTTTTGTCAACAAGTGAATCAATAAACCCTACATGATATATCAACCTGTCCGAGTCGGACTAAAAATGATTAATAAAAATACACGATCAGTATTCTAATGAGTCTACAGGGAAACCTTCGAGAGAGAGAGAGAGAGAGAGAGAGAGAGAGAGAGAGTGAGTGAGAGAGAGAGAGAGAGAGAGAGAGAGAGAGAGAGAGAGTTATATTACAGTCGATTTGTCATGACAGTCCGGGAGTGATAATTTTATTGGAATATTATTATTTGACCGCAGAGAATTCGGCTACCTCGCCTAATATCAATATGTATATAACATGGCGGACTGATGTGTCTTGCGTTGTGTTCACTACGGAGTCAACACCAACGCAACTCTATACTAAATTCATGCCAAGCTTTCAGGATACTACAAACTACTCCATAGCTTCTACAAGAAAATAGACAGAAAAGTGAACAATTTGGGACAACAATAGAATTAATTACAACAAATGCGATGGAAAAGACTTTCGAAAAAAATCACCCCAACGCAATTTCAGTAGCCCTGTATCTTATTAAAATGTTGGGACATTACAAGGCCGTATTACGTAATCTGAAAATGATTTCTGTGTTTTGTAATTGGATATCTTGAAGACATTTAAGATCGTGTTAACAATTAAATATGTTACAACGATATAGATAAACGTCTACATAATGCATTGCACTAAAAATGTCATGTAATTATTAGCTCTTTAGGTTGAACCAGGGAGGTGCATGGGAGGGAACTGAACCTAAACATAAAGCCTGTCTACACTAGTTTGGCCAGGGGGATTAGACCTCCCTGCAAGGTCACTGACAGATGGTTATGTCATCAAATAAATTTCCAATTAACATAAGAAAAGTGGGGCTTTAAAGTAAATATACAAAAAAAATATGCATCATCATCTAGAAATATCAGATGCAGAAAAATAAAAAATAAATAAAAGGAACTGATGTTGCTATCGGTATGATCGTCATCAAAATAATTTTTATATTGATATTAATGATATACAACTATTATTAATATAATAATTAGTATTATTATTATCATCATCATCATAATCATCATCACCACCGTCCCCATTACTACTGTGAATACGGTCGAATGAATATACAATTATGTATGTGTTTGTAAGTGAATATTAATTTATAGACAAAAATATAAAGGTAGCAAGAAATTTAAACCAAATAACACTGTGAAAAGATAACGTTTATAATTCAATGGGGGCTTAATGAAAATTAATGATAGGCATTTGTTCTAATACTTCTTTTCAAGTTTAAAAATTCCACGCGTATATAATAATACTATTCCTTAGTTTTAATCAATATCTCCTATAACAATCTATTTCAATTGTCTTTGAATATACGAACATAGTGAAACGATCACGTGCAAAGTATGCATCTGTATGGTTGATTGAACATAATCCACTCTAATGGGTTTTCTAGATCTGATGGCAACCATTTTGAAGTGCTGAGTAACGCTCATCCTAAGCACATTCCACTTTGAATGCTGAGCGATAATGTTGCTGTTCGTAATTAATTTCATTTAATAAGGATCGGCGGCATAAACGTTTATATGTAAGCTTTAATTTGATAATGATACACGCAGGGAAGGACTGCGCCATTTTTAAACTGGAGTGATAAAAGCCAAATAATGCGATGTAGCCATGATAGGGCGTTTATTTAATAGAAATGGTTTTTCATTTCATAGAGTAGCCTGGGGCTATCTTCTGTATGGTAATTATGTATGTTAAGCCATGGGGTAGATGGAGTAGAGATAATGTGAGTTGTCTTAGCCTGAAATATTGATATGATGTTTCTCAGCTCAGCTCTCGGCTCTGCTAAATTGTTCACGTGTTATGCCTCAAACGGTCACACGATCTACATCATTTTTATCACACAACCTTCCGTAGATGTTTTCATTTTCTCTTACATTTCATCTATATTCCTCCTTCACCATTCATCATCTTTGACTACCACCAGCATCACCACCATCCCTGCAATATGCTACTACTATATACTACTTCGACCACTACTACTACTACTACTACAACAACTACTACTACTACTACTACTACTACTACTACTACTACTACTACTACACTGTACTACTACTACACTGTACTACTACTACTACTACTACTACTACTACTACTACTACTACTACTATACTACACTTTACTACTACTACTACTACTACTACTACTACTACTACACTCTACTACTACTACTACTACTACTACTACTACTACTACTACTACTTCTACACAGCTACTATCATTACTTTAATTCTGTATGTGTACACTCTAAACAATATTGGGTAAAAAATTGTTTCCCCCCAACATGAGGGCGATTATAATGTCCAACCAACTGTTGGGTAAATTAAAGATTTTGCATGATTTACCCAGTGTTGGATAAAAAGAAAATACCGAACATTTAACCAACAAAAATTTACCCAATGAGAAATTCACCCAATTCTCACCAAAATGTATTGTATAGCATATTAGAACACTAGTTGGGCAAATGAGTTGTATAAACTATTATATATAAAAGGACATTAGCGCCGCGGCGGGAGTCGAACCGCGGATCTTGTGATCCATAGTCCTTTGACAGACACCTCTAATATGAGAACAAGACTCCATTATGTTCCATAATTGTTGCCCGACTTGCGTTTGCCCAGTAACATCTACCCAACTAATTTTGAACATTAATTGGGTAACTATACATGACTGTAGTAAAAGGTTGGGAGAAAATAACCCAAATGTTGGACAAAAATGGCCCAACTTTAATTCGACCAATACCATTACCAAATTATTTCATCGGTAACTACATGGTTGGTAGAAAATATCCCAATTATTGGACAACATTTGCCCAACATCGATTTGCCAAGTAACATCTACCCAACCTATTTTCTACCTTTCATTAGGTAACTTCCTTCACATAGTAAATGGTTGGGAGAAAATAACCCAATTATCGGACAAAATTTGCCCAAATTCGTTTTACCCGGTAACATCCGCCCAATTTTTTTTTTACAGTGTACACAGGTTTGAATGCATGTTGGAAATGATATATTGTGTCTAGGCTACGGCCTACTTATCATGGTACATTATCATGATTGTTCATGTCTATTGCCTCGCCCGGGTGACCCCAATATTTAAAAATGACAAACGTGATATTCCTAGTTTGGTATCAAATTAATATGTTTGCTGTTTTTGCTATTTTTGCTTGTTTCACCTAGTATATCATCTTATGTTAAGGCCTTCTTGCCCACCAAATTGCACTTCTCTAATAAAAAATGAGGAAAATTAGTATAGAAGTAGTAGTAGTAGTAGTAGTAGTAGTAGTAGTAGAGTACTAGTAGTAGTAGTAGTAGTAGTAGTAGTAGTAGTAGTAGTAGTAGGAGTAGTGGCAATAGTGGTAGCAGTAGTACTACTAGTAGTAAACTTAATTGGATAACTTTTTTAGCACAAGGCTAATCTGCCACAACGTCAAATTCATAAATTACAAACATAATATTGTTAGATACAAACTTTGAAAAGTTAAAAGCGTGAAATTTATGCAAAAGAGGAACATTGTGCGTGTGTATGCATCATCGAATTCACAACGGTGAAGAGAGAAACTAAAACAACAAGATAGCATAGAATTAACAATATTAATTGGAAAAAAGAGAAAGTAAATACATACGGCCTATAACAAACATATAAAGTGGAGTGTGTATGTGCCACTGCTATCCACCACAACCGTTCTGTTTCTTAATTAGGGGTAATTAACTCTTTCATCAGCGCTCGGGTACACATTTTGCTTAATTAATGTAGCACTCTTGTTGTTTGTTTACTGGCTAAACATGCTAAAGCGTTGGTAGAAAGCCATCTAATTTGCCTTGCTGATATTATACGATATCTTGCATTGTCACTACCAATGGCGTAGTAATAGGTTTTACAGGAGGCACACGGGATAATGTATCCCTCCAAATAAACAATAAAGACAAAAAGGGGGGGGCAACAATTCGGGGGGGGGGATGATTATTTATACGACGTTTGTTGTGTGTGGATACTCTAAAATTTATACGATGATTCTTTATACGACGTTTCGTTATAGAGTTTCGGGATAAATTGTTTTGTGTGTGGACACGAGAGTCGCGTCGCGTCGTGTGTACATTAAATAGAACAGCCACCGATGGTGTTATGTAATCAGCCCCAACCAGCCCGCCCTTGCAACCACTAGCTAAAGTTGCGTACGCCATTTACAGGTTCTTAGTGCATTTAGTTAATACCACCCGTCGTGGCGTGCCCGTTATTCCACCCATCCAATCAGGAAAATGCACACGCTTTGCACACACACTCACGCATTGTGTGTTAGCTTTCGCATAGGTAAAATCAACTTTGCACTGTCAACGACGGAGCGCACAAACACGAATTCACCACAGTTCGGAGCGAGCTTTCAACTGGAATAGGCACTCGTGCTCTCTTCCTCTCAAAAACGATTATCTAGTTGGCAAAGCTATATACTGAGCGGCTATTTATCTTTCTCATTATACCCAATCGATTGATTTAAGAATAGGCTTAAACGTGTCTTGTGGCGGGGGAGGAATCATATGCAAGAAGTGAGTGTTGTTTTTATTTCCCGAGGAGAGGAGAACATTGTGAACAGGCGACTTCTTTGGAATTTATCAAGTTTAACTTTGTTTAGACCAGTGAGACTATTTTGGTCCGTATTCCTGTACCAGTGACTTATCTTTGTTTCTATTTGACAGAGCAACAATTTTGGACCCCTTGGATCTTGTGGAGGTGAGTTATTATCATAAAATATTAGCAAGTATGGCACTCTTCTTCTCGTAAATCCTAAATACCAGCAACTACGCTGATAATGTAGCATCAGATTGAACATGAAAATGAATACGAGCTGGAACGATCCAAGTTTTACCAATTTAAATCAAGAAGTTTTCTTTTAACCTGATTATTAAGAAAGCAAGTTTGTAGATAAGCAAACCAAATCTGAGGAATTGGTAATTGGGTGTTAATGCTTTACCAAAGAGCATAATGCGTATTGACTTGGTTTAGAATCCTGGACCTCCAAGTTACGATACCACTGCTCTACCACAGTAATATCCTCCTTGATAAGTGCTACCTTATTACCGGATGTACTTGAAAATGCAGAGATATGTAGTCGAGTGTTCAGGTCTTTCTGTCGTCCAATTTCTACCTCCCTTCTCCAATTATATCACTATCCAGTTTAAACATACATGTACGCCTATGTATGAAAGATAGATGCACACTTGATAAAACTTACGTCCGAAGAAAGATGGAAATGATTTTAACCTATTGATCGATGAACCGGCATTACCCTACAAGCATCGATGGACTAAAGTAAAGTAAAGTAAGTAAGTAAGTTGACGTGTACCAGTGTCAACTTCAATCAAATGTAATCTTCTCAAGTGTAAAAATATAGTTTACCACACCAGAATAAAAATCAGTGGTAATTTAAAGAAAATTGAAATGCTGTTAACATCCTTATCCTTTACGGTCAGAAATCTGAAAACTGACACATAATTTTAAAAAATACTAAAAGTGATAATAGTAATAATAGTGACAATATCTCAAATAGCAATGCATAAACTGAAAGAATAGATGTCCAGGATTCCAGGACAACTGACCAAGCATCTGAGCTATCGTTACGGACAATTAGACCTCGGAAAAATAACGTCCGGACAACCTCCAGCAATTATCCCTGGAGAAGTTTCTCCAAGGATATCAACCCCGCAGGCAATACCCCGGACTAATTCCTCTGGACAAATTACTACTCCTCCAGGAAAACTTCTCCAGGACAAGTACTCTCTTGTTGCAGAAGAGTGGAAAGACACTCTTCTATATAGGAATCATAATATTAGGCCTCATTTTGTCCCGGAGTGGAAATCACTAGAAAGAAGAGTGGAATTCCCTTCAAACTGGTGGTTTGAATGACTCTATTTAGATTGGATTGTATTATTAGTGTGTGCGTGTGTGTATGCGTAACTGGGTTTTTACAGAATGTTTATGGGGACCGTCACCATCCGAAAAATGTGACTCAGTTTCGAACCGAGGTCCTCCTGAGACTGTTTGTATGCGAAGCCAGAGATCTGACCGAGTGAACGTACCACTTGACCAACTCACTTTTTATGGTTGCCCTTTCGGAGAAACCGATGACCCCGTCCCACTGGAAACTGGAGACCGGTGCGAGATAAGCGAGACTTTACCTTATTAGTATCAAATCTTGTTGGTTTATACTTATCGAATCGTTTAATTATGATACAGAAAAGAAAACAACGACTACAAAATATACATGCAGAAAGCACATTGTGCTTCTCAAATGTACAAAAGAAAGTTCATATACCAGCATTTCGAATTCTTGGTTGTATAGATGGCGCCGAAACAAAAAAACACTCTTACATCTTGCATTTTATGTAACACTAAAACACCTTTTATTGAATTATATTTTGGTGACAGATCCAGGGCGTCAAGGGGCATGTCCCTCAGGGAAATTATTTTATGCACCCTTTGGATATATCTGAGAATCTTTTTTAAAGGCACACTGTCCTACTTGTAGCTACTTGCTCCCTCTATATAGAAAACTTCTCCAATCGGTACCTGTTGGTCCCCCATGATCCTCTTTTTCTTATGTTAAATGAGAGCTGAGTTAATGAGATAGCCACCTTTCACAGTGACCTCGCTGGCTCGCTGCGTGGTCTAATCCCTTCTAGCTGAAGTAGTATAAAGCCTGCCTTTAATGTTCATTCATTTATTAATTTATTTATCTTTCTTTCTTTATTTCTTTATTTATTTATTTATTTATTTGTATTCATTTATATATTTATTTTGCTTGTCATGTTTGAGACACGACCCCCCCCCCCCCAGTTATAGAATCCTTTACTCCGCCGCTAAGTTTATAATATGTATAATTCATGTAAATCACTCAACATAAGATTTATTTCCACAAATACTGAACAACATTTCTATTTCCAAGTGAAATCGAGAATGATAAAGCGGTAAAATGACGTCCTCGTTAATATACCCCTAATACAATTTAATGTATCCTTTGACAGCCATCAAAACGATAACACAGACATCTAAGGCAGCAATGCTAAACAAGACATGCATTGACACATCCTAACATATTTCAAAAGAAGGGGGATGGTGCAAAAATATGGTACGGATATTTTTTTCTTCTCTCGCATTGTAAATTTAGAATGAAACGGTTAAATAACATGGCCACTTTTGGTGCATAGGTTTGTAAGAAATATCTCTCGAAAATGAATTCTACAATAAAATGGGTCAATAACTGAAGTACTCGTTCGATGTACGTGTAACGATCATCTTAAAAGTGTACCCGGGCAATGTATTAGTATATAAGCGATCATAAGAACTACATTATCTTCTAATGCACTCCAATTTTATCACCCTTAGGCGATTTCTTTTTCCAAAATAATTATGTATAATTGAGACAATCTTTGCATATCAGCAAATGAGAGCTACAATGTATACGTCTACTACCAGCTGTCGATCGTGGCTGTCAGTCTGTTACATTAGTGATTTTATTTCTTCATGGAACTTCCCTCCTCCCAAAAACTTGTTTTTTTTCTTCATATTTTGTTATTACAGCTTTCAAAATAAATCATTACATCAAAATCAATGTAAATAATTCCATACAAATACAAATCTCCATTTCGTTTTCATAACACAGATAAATTATTCACAAAACAATGAGCAAAGAAGAAGAATAATCGAATGAAATTACTTTTTTTTTAAATAATAAAACACACACACACACGAATGCACGCAAACTTAAAGCTCACACCAAACTTCCTCCCCTCATAAGCATTTTTATGAGAAACAACAGTGTCTTCTCGAAAAAATCACAATACGAATGTATTTTTTATTATTGGAATCATGTTGAATACAGGGGCAACCTAATGTATTTGTATCAAACGCGTTCCTCTGAAATTGTAAGTACCCCTTTCCCGATGAAGCCTTTATTATTATTATTTACAGTTTCCATTATCAAAAAAATTATATTCGGAGAAAAGGTGATTCCTACTGACGGAATACCCATGGTATACATATGCTATTGGATTGATTGATTTAATTTATGGAAATTGATCGAATGTCATAATTATGATAGAATAGTACAAACAAACCTTCAAAAAATATTCAATGAAGTTCAACTCACATATATAATTTGTCGGTATATAATCTACACACTCGTCAGTCATGCTCCAGAAATTATAAATGTACATATTACATACTTACTTACTTACTTGGGTGTAGTGACTGGAAGCTATTTGTCCCTCTCATGTACAATGAAGTATTTTCACATGCAACTCCGTAGACCCAGGAAAGTGTATGTCACTCTATTCGTGCTTTAAACATAACGCGTTATTTTCACTTTTCCTCTTTAATTCAGTGACGATTCACATCAGTTCATTTGTGAGGTGATTCTTACATGCTCCAAAAAAAGACAAACCAAAATGCAAAAGATGTTTTATGGCTTGCATCTTAGAATCCAATATTCATGTCATAATGTACACCCCATTGATGTGCATGGTAGCGACACATTTCTATTCAATTAACATTATAGGTCCAAGACAGAGGTGTAGCAATGGTCCTACCATCTCACAATTGAGGGGCACTGATGCCATGAGGGAAGGGGGGGCACTCATCTTATTGCCTGGATGAAATAAATAATGAAATGCCAATGCACAAGGCCAACAATTTTTTTTCGGGAGGGGGGGGGGGGAGGGAGGTAGGGATGATATTATCTTTTTACCCTCTCCCTCTTTCCCTTTCCTCCCCCTTTCTCACTAGTTTCAATATATTATGCCGTTCGCCCTCTTTACGTCCATTTCTACAAGACTGAACCGTGATGCTGATTAATAAACAAATTATCAAGAGAAGCACTTGTATGTAACGCGCTTTATGGCGAGACTCTTTTTGAGTAGCTCATCTATGATTGAATATAATAATTTTCAATCGAGAGGAGAATGAAAAGAGGCAACGGAGGATTTGAGGAAACGGGATCGTATCATCTCTCTTTTCAAAATTCCTTTCTCTAATCTTCACCTCTTTCCACCCCCTCCCCTTTGCCTCTTTCCATCCCCTCATCTCTTCGTCATTCGATAGGGGATGCCCTCTGGGCTTGAACACCCACCTCCCCCGTTTTTCCTTCTCTTCTACACTACTGGTCTATAATGCTAATTAAACAAATTATTTAGAAGCACTCGTTTGGAACGTGCTGTATGCGCAGCTCATCTCTTCATCGCCAGAATGAGTCCAGTAATATTAATCACTGTAATTGATTTAATACAAACAAATCGCCATGCCACGCGTCGATATAATGAAAAGAAGCACGACCTAGGCAAATGTAAGCAAAAACAAACAATACTCTATGTATGAGTTGCATTAAACAAATGATTTTTTCCGTCATGCACTGTCTATCAATCCATCATTATTTGTGCAAAAAGTAGTTGATAAAGAAATGTATCAAAAAAAATAAAGTCATTTGGAAGTTGAAATGATCTACCCGGCATAAAAGTATTCATAAAATTCGCTGTCGAGCGTAACAAATGACAAAACAAACCACACACAAAAGAAAAACCACCACAAAAAAGAAAACGCCTCAAAAACTAAAGGGGGTACATCTTTGGACTTCTTTACTATTGTGTATCATAAAGGTATCCCGCTCGAATTTCAAGGGGCACTGGCCGGTTATGCCCCTTTAAAGCCGTCAGAGCTACCAGCAGTACGAAGTTTAAAAA